TGCTGCACCCAGTGTGCCATCTGCTGTGCTCGACCCTGGATAACCTCACCTGTAGCAGACTTCAGAGGGGCAGATTTCTTCTGTGTTGGACCTAAGGCCTGCTTGATGCCATCATACATCCCCTTGATGTTGCCTGTATCAGCTGCTATCTGGATCCGAGAGCAAAGCTGCAGCCAATAATCGTTAGCACATCTCCTGGCGGTCTGTTGGACTTTGTTATGAGCAGCTCACAGAACCTATAGGTTGCGCTCACTGGAACAGGCTTTATTTGCAATTAGAGCTCTCCCTTTTTTCTCGATGGCTGGCATCAACTCCTCTGAATGGGCTTCAAACCAATCTGCTGTCTTTCTGATATCCTTACCAAATACTGACAAGACAGTGTTATAAACAGCATTCTTGAAATATTCCCATCGTTCAGATGCATTTACTTCAGCTGGGCCTGGGAGAGTTTCCTTGAGTGCTTGTGCAAATTCCTCCACTTTGCCCTGATTGCGGGTGTTGTTGATGTCAATTCATGGTCTTCTTTCCTTCTTCTAGTGATGTAATCTCTTTGTTTGCAGTTTTATTCTGCTGCACACCAAGGAGTGGTCTGTATCGCAATCAGCACCCTGATAGCTGCGTGTGATTGTAATATTGGAGAGGTTGGAGTGCCTGGTAAGAATCATGTTGAGCTGGTGCCAATCCTTCAATCTTGGATGTCTCCAAGAGACTCTGTGTTGAGGCTTTGTTTTAAAGTATGTATTGCTAATGCAAAGACCATAGTAGCAGCAAAATTCCAGCAGTCGGCCATTTTCATTCATCTTTCTGATGCCAAACTGACCTAAACAAGTGGGCCAAGAACTATAATCAGCTCCAACTCTGAGGACCCGGTTTGTGGGGGCAATAAGCTGACTTTTATAAAAAAGAACACCACTTTGGGGGGGGGGGGCGAAAGCCCTATTAAGCAGGTATATACAAAAGTATGAAGGCTATTGCTTAACGCATTGTAAGCTGCCCTGAGTCTCCAGAAAAGGGCGGCATATAAATCGAACCAATAAATAAAATAAATAAATAGCCTTGGTAGTACTAGGGTTTAAGGCACCCTGTTATTAAGCTGCTTAAGACCAGCTGCCTGCAATTACTGCAGGGTTCGAATCTCGCCAAGGCTCAAGGTTGACTCAGCCTTCCATCCTTTCTAAGGTAGGTGAAATGAGGACCCAGTTTGTGGGGGCAATAAGCTGACTTTGTATAAATATACAAAAGGATGAAGGCTATTGCTGAGCACATTGTAAGCCGCCCTGAGTCTTCGGAGAAGGGCGGCATATAAATCAAATTAAAAAAAAAAAAAATAAACTCTGGCATTAAAATCGCCAAGGATAAACAGTGGTTCTTTCTCAGGGATTTTCTTGATAGTAGCAGCCAGATCGTTATAGAATTTGTCTTTGGATTCTACTGAAGATGATAATGTCGGAACATATGCGCTAATAAGAGTAACTAGCCCTGCTGATGAGTGGAGCTGCAAGGACAGAATTCTTTCACTTCCTGCAGCAGGTGGAGTAATGGATCCTAGTAGGGTGTTTCTGACCGCGAAGCCAACCCCATATTCCCTAGACTCATTTGATGGTTTTCCCTGCCAGAAGAACGAGAAGTTTTTCTTCTTAATAGATCCCAAGTCTAACAGTCTTGTCTCTTGAAGGGCAATGATGTCCATCTGCAGTCTGGTCAACTCCATGTCAATGGCAGCTGTCTTATGTATGTCATCTATCTCTTGTAAAGCATCAGAAAGGCCAGGGGTTATTGTCCGAACATTCCAGGTGCTCAACTTTAGGGCTAAAGTTTTCTTATGTTTGTTGCATGGTGCAAAATTATTGATCTGCTTGTCAGCTTTGACCCTAAACCCCACGCACCCTGTTAGGTTAACAGACAGTGGCTGGGCAGCACCTTACTGGCTGGGGATTCCCAGCTTAAGGCGGTTGGTAGCTGCCCAATGAGATACAATGACCTCTCCCACCGACGAAAGTGGTCCCTGGTGTCATGCTCTACGCCAATCAAGCAAAGCTTAATAACCGGTTATTATTGATTAATAACCAGTAACTGCCACTTCCCGTGTTGTTTCAATGCTGTATGCAAAGCTGGAGTGTCCTCTCCAGAGCATGAGGTCTGGGTAGATTAATATGGAGGATAGACTGTTACCCAAGCAGCCGATCCTCTCTCTCCATGTCGCTGAAATAATCCAATGGAACGCAAAACCGATACGATTAGTTCCAGCTGCATTGCAGGAGTTACTAGAATGTGATTGTACACAGTCACGAACTGCTTCCAGAACTCCGGCTCTGGATTTTGCCTTGAGGTTGACTCCTGAAGCCTTTTCCAGTAGTAGATATAGCCACAAGGCAGTGGAGGTTTGTAATCAGAGTTTCCCTTCTCCTAGAAGATGGTTCTGCCATTTTATCTGCTGTTGGGGCATAAAGCCCTCTTCCGCTTTCAAAACAGTTGACCATTTTCTCCTGTAACCCTGGATAGGGGCCCTTACGAGGTGCTACCAGCTGGGCCAGCTGGATCAAGGTTTTTTGTAGAGAGGTATTACTCCTCTAGCACTCCTCCTCACTCCAGGACTCCTGCTCCAGGTTTTGCCTCGAGGTTGACTCCTGAAGACACTCCTATAGATGGGTATAGCCACAAGGCAGTGGAGGTTTGAGATCAGAGTTTTCTTTCTCTTACATAAGTTGCCTTCCAAGGCTAGCGGACACCATCTTACCGGTTTTTCCCACGCACACAGCTAACAAGACTTCCCACTTAACTCAATGAAACAGCCACTCTCCCCTCCCCCTAGAAACAAGCAGATTCATTCATGAGGTGAACTGGAGCAGACCTTCCTCCCTGCGGTCACATGATTCACTCACTCAAACAGACACTCCCCTTTCCCCTAAAAACAAGCAGATTTACCCATGAGAAGAGCTGGAGAACTTTCCTCCCTGCAATCACATGATTCACTGTGAGGAATTGTAACTGGCTGACAAAAAGAGCCTTGGTACTACAGTGGTTTAAAGCACCCTGTTATTAACACAGCTGCCTGCAATTTACTGCTGGTTCGAATCTCTCCAAGGCTCAAGGTTGACTCAGCCTTCCATCCTTTCTAAGGTAGGTTAAATGAGGACCCAGTTTGTGGGGGCAATAAGCTGACTTTGTATAAATATACAAAAGTATGAAGGCTCTTGCTTAACGCACTGTAAGCCGCCCTGAGTCTCCGGAGAAGGGCGGCATATAAATCAAATTTAAAAAAAAAACAAAAAAAACATACTCAACGAGTAGTCCATAATGGGTCTACGTCTACATGGAGGGAAGTAAGCAGTGGGGTACCACAAGGTTCTGTCTTAGGCCAAATACTCTTCAATATCTTCATAAATGACTTAGATGAGGGAATAGAAGGGGAATGCATTAAATTTGCAGACAATACTAAGTTGGCAAGGATAGCTAACACCCCAGAAGACAAGCTCAGGATCCAAAAAGATCTTGATAGACTTGAACAATGGGCCCTATCCAACAAAATTAAATTCAACATGGAGAAAAGTAAGGTTTTACACTTAGACAGGAAAAATCAAAGGTACAAGTACAGATTAAGTGAACCCTGGGTCAAAAACAGTAACTGCGAGTGAGACCTTGGAGTTTTATTGAATGAAAAGCTAATACAACCCTTGTATAGAATCAAAATCATGTGAAGTATTAGTACCACTTTATAAAACCTTAGTAGGACCACACCTGGAATACTGCATCTAGTTTACAAACCACATTACAGAAAAGATGTTGAGACTTTGGAAAAAGTGCAGAGAAGAGCAACTAAGATGATTAGTTGGAGACTAATTAGTTGGAGACTAACCTGGAGACTAAAATGTATGAAGAACAGTTGCAGGAACTGAGTATGGCTAGTCTACAGAAAAGAAGGACTAGGGATGACATGAATAGTTCAGGATTTGAGGGGGTGCCACAAAGAGGAGGTGGTAATCTTATTTTCTAAAGCACCAGAAGTCAAGAAAAGAAACAATGGATGGAAACTAATCAAGGAGAGAAACAACCTAGAATTAAGGAGAAACTTCCTAACAGTGGGAACAATTAACCAGTGGAACAGCTTGCTTTCAGAAGTTGTGGGTGCTTCATCACTAGAGGTTTTTAAGAAGAAACTGGACAGTCTAAAATCATATAGAGACTCCTGCTTGTACAGCAGGTTGGACTAAAAAACTTCCAGAGTCCCTTCCAGCTCTATTCTGATTGATTAAAGTGATATTATTCCACAGAGTAAGAGCCATCGCCAAGAATGATTCTCTTCTTAGTCCCACAATACATGGGAACTGGACAGAGGTGAAATCCAGCAGGTTCTGACAGTTTCTGGAGAACCAGTAGCAGAAATTTTGAGCAGTTCGGAGAACCGGCAAATACCACCTCTGGCTGGCCCCAGAGTGGGGAGGGAATGGGGATTTTGCAGTATCCTTCCCTTGGAGTGAGGTGGGAATGGAGATTTTGCAGTGTCCTTCCCCTGCCACGTCCACCAAGCCACACCATGCCCACCAAGCCATGGTAGATGATGGAGGGTCCCTGGAACCAAAGGAGTCAAACAACCAAACCTTGCTGGTATTCAATCTATTGATAGCAATTCTGGGTTCTCCATCTCCAGAGGGTTTAAGAAAAGGTTGGACAGACACTTGGTGAGGATGACTTGATTGTTGACTTTTGCAGAGGATTAAGCTAGATGATCCTTGTGGCCCAGCTCAACAATTCAAGGCACTCACAGTTTTCAGGAAAAGCTGTAAAAAGCAGCATGTCTAACACTGGACTGACTTCTATTCAAGAGTTTTGTGCAGGCTGTCATTCTTCCTGCCTTCCCTCTCCCACCACATCTTTTCTGTCCAGCCTTGCACTGAGATGTCTTCTTTTTTTGTTCTTTTTCTTATTGCTTTTCTTGAATGAGCCTATGGCATTGCCTGTCACCCTTTTCTCACCGGTCCTGAAAGACTTTCTCCCCTCAGTTGCTGGTGCTCCAGGAAGCAAGTGCCAATAGTCAGGTAGCTGAAGAATGTGAATGCAGAGAAGAGGAGACACTCCTGACAATAATCCTGCCCTGGGGCCTGAAGGGCTTCTGGTGGCAACCAGCATCTTAACTGCACCCAGAAGCGCACTGGAAGCAGCGTAGCTCATGTGAGTTGTATCCACAACTGTCGGCACCATTTTGGACCAGTTCGGGTTCCAAGTGGTCTTCGAGGACAGCACATTGCAGGGATCCATTTGGGGGCGTGGGTGACCAAGACTTGAGTCACTCTGAGTAAATCCTCCCAATTCAGGAAAGGCTGTAAGAACCCCTACCAGTATTGTAGTCAAACTCTGCCCAGTGCCATGAGTTCGATCTTGATGGGCTCAGGGTTAACTCAGCCTTTTATCCTTCTGAGGTCTGTAAAATGAGAATCCAGACTGTTGGGGGCAATAGACTGATATTTCTAAACCACTCAGAGAGTGGCGTAAAGCACTGTGCAGCAGTATATAACTCTTAAGTGCTCCTGCTAAAGGTTGCAATTGATGCACAACAAGAGCCCTCCTGCCCACCACTGCCACCTGTTCCTTGAACAGGAGCCATGAGTCCAGGAGGACCCCCAAATTCTGCACAAGCTCTTACTGGATCAAGAACTAAGAATTAATCAAGAACTCTGGATCCATGGGGCCTTAAAACCAGAAGCCCCTTGGTCTTGCTAGGGTTGGGTCCTCCTCTAGGCACCAAGAAAGGATCTCAATTAGCATCACTTAGTTGGCCAGGAATAGAGACGCCTAACTGGTCATCTCCAGCATACGGACAGTACTTAGGCTTGTGCTGGCGGATGAGCTCACCCAGTGGTTTAACTCTGCAGATAACTAATGAAAATCGTGGGAGGCGGGGGGGGGTGGTAATGTCTCCTAGGAATTACTCTACATTGTACAAGGATGTGTTCATTTCAGTGGTCTTTCAGTAGCTAAAATTTGATTTTCTTGCCATTGATCAGGTTGCAGACTGGAGAAGCTGACTGTATAATCCTAATTGTGTTTTTAGTTCATCAAGTGGAGCTTGCCAGAGCTTGTCAGGCAGTTTTTAGTTTGAAGATTTTTGGGGATCTTCTGGAATGTTTTTGACTCGGATATGAAAAACCTCATGCAGAATAATTGTGTCCATGTTTACTCTGACGTAGATCTCAGGGTTCCATGTGACTTACTCCGAGGCAGATACGCATGGGATTACAACCAAGCTATTTAAGCCTAAAAAGCAAGACTGAAAGGAGGAATCCAACATGGTTGCAACTTTTAAAGTGGCTGGGGTGTGTGTATGTAAGAGAGAACCCTTCAGTCTCATTGTGGAAAGGAAAGGAATTATTCCAGAGCTTCTGCTGTCAAGAAATGTGAGCAGCCCTGATTTGGCAATTCAGAGACAGGACTTCTCCACACTCCGTCCTGGGCCCATTTTCAAGCAGCAAAGCAGTTCTGCGGCTATCTGTGAGCAACAGTTGTGGGAAAGGTGCAGGGCCTCTTGCCCTGGGACAGGGACCCTTGGACACCAGACCCTTGATGACCCAGTCATCAGCCGGGGTGGACAATCTGGCAAACATGTATACACACACACACACACACACACACACACACATCAAAAAATCTACACAACCAGAAAATGTCACAATTCGTGCTGTCTAGATACAGTATTATTTTTCTTAAAACAAAGAGTATGAAGCAGAACTATAATACACAGAAACATAGAAGCCCACAGGTGGACATGCACACTCTTCTTCTGCAGATTGTGTAACATTCTGCATGTTGTACATATTTTCTTAATATCCTTATCTTACTCCTGCAAGTATACATCTACGTGTATTTATTATGGCTTTGCTAGTCAAAAGGAAGGCCTGGGTTTCTTCATGTTATAGCAGTTTGCTTCCTGTCCTTTTGAACACTTGTGTATCATCGCTCAGATAGCAGTCGGCACTGGCCTTTCAACCAGATGTTCGCATCCCTTTGGAGCAGAACTTTCCGAGGAGGGGGGACCAGGGTTGCACAAGGAGCATGTGGTCCATTCCACTAGAAAATACCAACAAGTTCACCACTGGCTGGAGTTACACATGTAAAGTGAGGGTGTTGTGCCTGTATCAACACTGTTAAGCAACAGTGACTGATAGAACATTTGTAGCTCAAGGTTGACATGAAGGCTCCTTGGTGCTCTCTGAGCTTGCTTGTTTTCTTGCAGACGTTTCATTACCCTGACTAGGCAACCTCATCAGTGTTAGACAGAGAGCACCAAGGACCCCTCACTGATAGAACGCTACATCACCCTGACCAGAAATTGACTACCTTCTCCAAAGGAGAACGAGAGAGGACCAAGCCTACCACTGGAAGAGGAACCCCACTGGTGTTTAGTCAGCTTGAAGCTTATCCCTCCCCACAACCAGTGAAGTGAGAGGAGCCTTAAACGAAGGAAAGGGGAAGGAGGTGCACCCTGAAGGCACCAGGGCTGTTGCATTGGTCTTGTCTTCTGGTGCATTCCTCCTCCACCTCCTCCTCTTCCTCCTCCTCCTCCTCCTCCTCCTCCTCCTCCTCCTCCTACTACTACTACTACTACTACTACTACTACCTCTCCTGGAGCCTTTAAACAGAACTTCCCATGATAGGCAAGTCATTTCATGAGATGAAGCCACTTGATGTAATGACCAATTTTTATTCAGGGACTGGACAGAATTGAATTCACTTCCTAAAATGAGCACTTTTCCCAGCTTAAAGTTCTTTCTCAGAAATGGTTGAATGGTTAGAACAGACTCTCCTCCACTCTCAGCAATATACCTTCTGGGAGGGAGTCTCCACCTTGGGGGAGCCCCCCCTCCATCTGAGACAGGGCCTCCTCCCTCTGCTCTGTTCAGAACTTCAGAAGTTGTGGGTGCTTCATCAGTGGAGGTTTTCAAGAAGAGCCTGGACAGCCATCTGCCTGAATTGATAAAAGGTCTCTTGCTTGTGCAGGGGGTTGGACTAGAAGACCTCCAGGGTTCCTTCCAGCTCTGTTATTCTGTTATTTCTAATGATAATAGAGCTGGCCTGGACCAAGAGGATTACACCTATCCAACTGGAAGGGAACGAGTATTATTAAGGAGGTAGCCCATAAAGGAGTCATTATATGAAGTGGCATCACAGCATGAAATCAGCTGTTTTTGGCATCTAATAGACAAATCAGCTTACAGGTGTGTGTGTGTGTGTGTGTGTGTATAAATGGAACTGTTTCTGCTTGTGGGTATTTTTATCCCATTCTCTCTATTTCTAGACAGTGGAAGCTCTGCCAATAACCGGGCTGGGGATTCTGCTTGGGGAACAGGACAGGTATGTTTTATTACAACCAAACAATCCAAAACACTATTTTTTAAAGCACAACCATATGAAAATATCTTTCCAAAATTCAAACTTTGGGACCCAAACCTTTCTCTCTCTAAAATTGGCTGTGCCAGAAAAGCTTCATTGGGGCTTTTTGTTTTTTAGGAACCGGCTGAAGCTCTTCCGGAAGGGCCAGAATATGAGCCCAGCCGACATGTACCGGTGGAAGCTCTCCTCCCACGAGCCCTGCAGTTCCACTTGCACCACAGGTGAGCAGTTCCCCAAAGAGCTTGCAGGGGGAACCCTCAACCAGTCTGCTTGGGAAGAGAAGCAGGTCTAGCTAGCCTTTCCCCATGAAGGGGCCCGCAGTCCATCCTGCGGCTTTAGTTACGCAGGCTTTCAAGGAGAGCTAATGCGCCACGGCAGAATTCAAGCACGGAAGCAGCCACTTCTGCACAGGACAAAGGCAGACAAAAGTTCTTGTGGTCCTACCCTGTTTCTCCCAAAATAAGACATCCCCTGATAATAAGCCCAATCGGGCTTTTGAGCGCATGGCAATAAGGCCAAGCGCTTATTTCAGGGTTCAAAAAAATATAAGACAAGGTCTTATTTTTGGGGAAACACGGTATTGCCCAAGGAGGGACGCGCTCATATCTCCACACATACACAAAAAGCAAAAAGCAAAAAACAAAGATGTGGCTGAGAACCTAACCAAAATAATAAAACCCACATATTATTACCCCTTTCTACTACTGCATGTAGAGACGAATGACACAAAGAAGGACTCGAAAACAATATTGAGTGATTATCAGCAGCTAGGAAAGAAAGTCAAGGACTTAGATGCACAAGTAGTTTTTTCATCTGTACTGCCAACAAAAGGTCAATATCCGGTAAGAGAACAAAGGATTCTAGAAGTGAACCACTGATTAAAGGTTTGGTGTCGCCAAAAAAACTTTGGATGCCTGGACCATGATCTGTACTACCTCCATGATGGGCTTTTGGCAAGGGATGGGCTGCACCTCACAAAGACTGGGAAGAATGTTTTTGGAAAACGACTGCCTCAACTTATCAGGAGGGCTTTAAACTAAAATTGAGGGGGGAGGATGACCAATCTCCAGGAGCTAATTCCAAGCAAAAACCCCTAGAAAACAAGTCAAATAATGAGGGAAGGAGGGATGGGAAGGAAGACAAACTCAAATACCAAATAGGAGACATAGGAAGCATACCCAGAGTCAGACATAAAAGACCCCAAGGGCTTATATACAATCGTATATATAATATACTATTATATAAGTATATATTATATACTAAAAGCCTTATGCAGAGCAGTGACCCAGAACAGTTTACATGCTGGAAATGGATCCAACACAGCCACCTGGTCAGAAATAATTCACTATACAAGGAGCAGTACTTGGGTCATGCGTAGAGGCAATATTTTCTCAAGTTGCAGCAGCTTGAAAGTTTTTACCAACTCACTTAAGAGATGTTAGATTTACATTGTTTTCAGAGAGAACGGAGGACTGTGAATTTCTGCAGACCAGAAATGGTGAATAAATTTGCTGAGAGTACAAACTCAGCCTCAAAATTGTTATCAATGAAGAATTCCTGTTTCCTATCCTTAAGAACAGCCCACCTGAGTCAGACTGAGACCCAGCCTGTTGTCCAGGAACTACCAGATGCCTCGGGAGCAGGAAGCAAGGCCCCCTCTTTTTGACTTCTTTCCCTGCAACCGTGATTTAAAGGCACACAGCCTTTGCATTTCCTGCGTCGGATGAAGAGAGCACCTCTTTCTCCTTCTGTCTTGCCCACTTTTTACAGAGACACGATTGAGAGCATTTTAACCAATTGCATCCCTGTTTGGTTTGGTGGCAGCAATGCCTCAGATAGTCCATACAGAGAGTGGTAAGGACAGTGGAGAAGATTATAGGAAGCTCGCTTCCTGTTGGAGACACACACCAGGCAGATGGAGACAAATGCCAGGAATTTCCATAAGTGCTGGACAGAATATGTGCTCATTATTTCAGTCATTTTGTAACATGATCATTTTTAATGAATGAATTCCTGGGTCATTTCTTGAAAAGATTCTCTGTAAGGAAAAGGGATTCAGAGTTGATCAGTGCTATTATTCACTCTTCAATCATGTTAGGTTATCTTTTTAAAGAATTGCCGGAGGTGGAGTGAATTGAAAATAATGATAATAATGATAATAATGATAATAATGATAATGATGATAATAATAATAATAATAATAATAATAATAATAATAATAATAATATTTATTGTTGGAGTTTTTGGTATGAAATACTGATGCAATTTTCCTTTCTCTTATTTTCTTGGATGAAGTTGCCAAAAGTATCAAAAAAAGGTGGTCTTGCTCCCCAAAATTCCCATTACTGATATTAAAGGAAAAATATTTCCTCGTTGCACAGGCCATGCCTCTAAATTTCCCCAGATCTTTCCTATGTCTTCTATGCTCCCCACCTCAGGAAGATTTCTTGTGAATGCCTGGAAAAATGATTTGGGGGAGAGGGAATCTTCAAGTCACTTTTGGACCCTGACAACGGGCTGGACTGGTCCCTGCTGGCATGGTTTTCAGGAGTGCCAGTTCCTGCTTCTACCTGGGAGAGAGGTGAGGGGCTGGCCCAAGGTGCCCCCAGTGGGCTCTGTGCCCAAGGTGGGTCTCCCAGTTTGTAGCTTGATGCCCTAACCACTAGACAAACTGGCTGTCTTGAAAACCAATGTCCCCCCCCCCCCAATGTGAACAAATGAACACTCTCTTTCCCACTATCTCGTCTTGGTGAATGAGCTCAGATTCCATCTCTGCTTTGCAGGAATTAGAGGGGCCAAGTGTAATTCATGCAAGGTGATAAAAGGAGACAGGAGGTGCCTTGACTTTTATCGATGCTACGGTTCAGAGGAAAGAGTGGTGATGGGGGGAGGCTTCTGGATGACATCTGTGCAGACACAGTTGTGACAGTGAAGGACTGATTGCTTTGGTGTTTCTGAATGCAGGAGTGATGTCCACCTATGCCATGTGCATCCGCTACGATGGCACAGAGGTGGAGGACCCTTTCTGTGATGCAGCTACGCGGCCTGAGCCCATCCACGAGTTCTGTGCAGGAAGAGAATGCCAACCCAGGTTTGTCTTCTTCACTGCTTGGGGAACCAAAGCCCAGAGGCAGCTGGGCAGCTTTCATTCCCAGGAGTGAGTGCTCTTTCTGTGCTTAGAATATTGCCAGGATGCCCGGCCCCTCCGGTGAACAGTAAGACGACTGCTGCAGTGCTAGGCTTTGTGCCTGTCGCCCTCGTGAGAATCCAGAGATGGGCCACTAGCAGGAACAGTGGATGAGGGCAGAAGTTTTTTATGGGGACCCCTTGGCAATAGAGGCAGGTCTCAGGGAGGAGGACATAGCCTGGTTAGTGGCTAGGATAGACTTTCCTACATGAAGGCAAGAGACTCTCCCTCTGGAGGGTCAGTGGTGGCTCTGGTGTTGGACAGCTACAGCACAACCATGAAACGGAAGGAGGGAGTTTGGTTGATTATCACAATCCCTGACTGCAAAGCAAAGGTAATTAGAAAAATAAAATGCCATCCCAACCATTCTTCATATGTCTCTAGGCCTTTACTCGTCTTAGCTGCTCTTTGCACTTTTTCCAAAGTCTCAACATCTTTTTTGTAATGTGGTGACCAAAACTGTCTTTGGTCATTCTTTGCTTTCCTGACCAGATTTGCGGATTCAGGATATCTGTTGATATTCACACAGTTATGTGTCCCACTTTCCATTTTTTTTTATTTATCCTTTTCGGCTTTCAGTTTATCAGAGAGATCTTTGTGCAACCATGCTGGTTTCTTCTTGGATTTCCTGTTTTTCTTTTTCAGTGGTATTGTATTGGACTAGGCACTGAGGGGGCTTGTGATTGGAGTCTGGTCAAAAGGCAGCTTTGGCAACTGATAACCAAACATGTGCACTTTGCAACAGAAGTAGGCAAATCTTCTGCCAGCATGCTCTAAAGCAGTGGTTCCCAAACTTTTTCAGTCCACCGCCCCCTTGGTACCACAAACTCATCCTCAGTGCCCCCCACCCAGGGGTGGGTTCTACTTACCTTTACTACCTGTTTGCAGGGGGCCGCGGATTGCGCGCTCACTTTGCTCGCGCATGCATGCACTCTTCTGCACATGCGCAGAAGCATTTTGGTGATATCGGGGTCAGTGGGCGGGGCCTCCTCCCGGTTTTACTACCAGTTCTATAGAATTGGTGAGAACCGGGGCAACCCACCACTGCCCCCACCTCCACCCCCACCCCCTATAAATAGCATTGTTTGGAATAGTGGTTTGCATGACCCACTAAGGAAGATAGTAAAATACACGGAATACAGCCATTTTTTTGCCTCCTGAAGCCTTGCTCTGCATGTCCCGTTTTTGTGAAAAACGGACCTGTTTTTCGCAAAAACGAGCCTGTTTTTCGAAAAAACTGTGTGCAGAGCCTTTGGGAGGCCTGCAGGCTGCTCCAATACAAATCTATCCCTATAACAAAAACAGCTAACACTATTAGTTAACACTAAAGAAATCCCCTGAATCAATCAATCTAGAGCAGTGATTCTCAGCTGGGGGTTCCTTTTGAATTTGCTGACCACCAGCGAGTGGGAGAAAGCAATTTCACAGAGGAGGGGATGGAGAGGGCTGTGGGATGAATTCACACCCATTCCCAGACCCCCTTGGGATCAACCTGCAGCCCTGCCCTGCCTCCTCAGGCGGTGGAGCGTGGGGGGGGGGATGGTTTTCAAGAAGTCACAAGGAGGGCTGAGAGCTGGTTTCTGTCCCACAAGTAAGATTTGGTCCAGAATCAACCTCAACATGAAGGTCTTTTATTTGCTCCTTGTCTTTGCATTTTTAACAGGTAATAAATTAAATTTCTGTTGATGTAAAAATAGCTCATAACTCACCTTTCTAGACAGCTAGAATAGACAGCTATTATCATGTCTAAAAGCAAGATACTCTTCTCCATCTTTTATCTGGAGTACCATTTAATCCAGAGCCTTTTAATTCCAGAAGTCCAAGTTTAAAGAATGGACTTCTGGAATTAAAGCTCCATTTTTTAGCTAAAACTTAATTCACACCTGTTAGTTTTGCTTGAGCAGCGTGAACAATTGACAGTGGGATCCTCCAAAGGTCTGAAAAATATATCATTGATTTTTCTTTGGCATTTAAACTAGATAACCAATGTGAAAAAATGCATCAAGGAAGGACTGGAAAGCCAATTCATACTGAACTGTATTGGGTTTTCTGTTGTTATTTGAATAAAATGAAAAGAAATCACATAGAGGTACCTAGTGCGGAAAAAGAGATGAAATAATGGGTCATTCTCAACACTTGAATTCTCTACACTTAAAATATCTAGAAATTATTATAGTTAAGTGAGTTTTAACCCATTTTACAATTTTTCTTGCCATAGTTCAAATCAAAGTTCAAATCAGAGATTTGATAGTTCAAATCAAAGATTTCTGAGACCAATGTTGAATACTTAAAATTTCAGTAGTCACCAATCCCAGTCTTAAAATGAGTTTAGAATCAGTGGGAGTCACTGATAACAATGAACTAACTAGCTACTGATAATGAGTCCAGTCCTGCCTTTCTTTTCCTTCTGTCCAAGTTTTGCAAGTACTTTTTCCAGGTATATGTTTTATTCCAAAGTATACAAACCATTATTGTTAGGGAAAAAATGGGTCTTCCAAGCAATTTTAAAAGACACTGTCAGAATGACTCTGCTCTCAGCCCCCCTTGTGGCTCCTTGAAAAGCATCCCCCCCCACATATGTAAATGAAAAGAATAAGCTTAAAAATCCTAGCCTTTTAAAATTGAAAATATGGAGAATTAGGAGGATGAATATGAGACGCTAAGGGAGATGTTTCAAAAAGTAAGGGAGGCATTTAAGGGAAATAAAGAAGCAGAGAATTGGTTAGCTTGCAAAAAAAAAAAGAAAGAGAAAAGATGAATGAGAAGCAAGAAAAACAAGGAGATAATATTGAAAAGGAAATAATTGAAAAAAGATAAAGATGATTACACTGGGTTCAATAGTGATAGAATAAAAATGGATATGGGAAAATACATCTCAAATATGAAGAAAAGAGAAATAAATGGGGTAAAATTGAGAATGAAAAGTAATAGAGTTAAAATTAAAGGAAAAAGGCTGAAGGGGAGATATAAGAACAGTAAAAAGAAGGTAAAGAAAGGGGAGAAAGGGAGGAAAACATCAAGAAAGAGAACTGTGGAGAGACTAAGAGAAAATGGTTAAGAGTCACTGAAAACGTTAATTTGTTAATAAAGAGAAGGATGCTAGTTGTAGAAATTATATGTGAAAATGCTGTTAAATAAAAAATAGAACAATGTAATATGAACGAAAGAATGATATTGGAAGAAGCGCTAAAAGGAGAGAATAAATTATAATATAAGAATTAATTGAATAAGATGGAATATGGAAATTAAATGTAAAACTGAATGAAATTGAAATGCAAAAAATGATTCAAATGATATACTTGTAAGAAGTAAAGTAAAAATAGTTAAAAGTAAAAAGTCTAAGAATTGGAAGATTGGAAGAGTAAAGATTTAAAAGGAAAAATGGAATAAGATGAAATATACTGCTAATAATTAAAAAGATGAGGGGAAATCTTGATAAATGAAAGAAAGACCAGGGTTGCCTGGACTCCATAGTGGAAAATATAAAATTGAAAATGAATACAGTAATAGAGAGTGATGAAGGAAGGAGAAGAGAGATGGAAGAAGGAATGAGAGAGAGGGAAGGAAGAGAAGGGAGGAAGGGAAGGGAAATTAGAGTAGGAGGGAGGGTAAGAGAGGGAGGAAGAGAGGAGGAGAAGGAGAAAGGAAGAGGAAGTAGGGAGGAGAAGAAGAGGGGGAGGAAGAGAAAGTAAGAAGGAAAGAAAAGAGAGAGGTGGTAGGTTTGAGGAGAAAGATTGCTGTACAATAAAAAAGATGAGAGGGAAGAAAGCCAACCCCAAACAAATATAAAGATATTAAGATAAAGAATGAATTGTTAAACTTTAAAGAATAAAAGAGAACAAATATGAATAAATAGCAGTAATTAGAAACACACATACAAACATACAATTTATTTTCTTTGAACAGAGTATTTGGCCGGTTCACAAATTTAAACAGTGTTTAGTCACTTCAATTAAATTTACAATTTCTATATTTCCTTTTTGCCATATTTATTCCTCATCTATTTTTTTTAAAAAACCAATATTACCCTTCATCCTCATCTCTAATCTTAATCAAATTCAATTTTTCCCTTCTATTCTATATTATACCCCTTCCCATTGTCATCTATTTTTATATCCATCCTCACATTGTTTAATTATGTAATATTACAGTTGTTTAATACAAATTCAACATTTTAATATAAATCAATTAGTTATATAACTATCTTTTTTTGTATATTAATCAATATGAACATGAATATTCCAATTATTTCCATGCAATCCAATTTCTTACAAATCAATTAATTATATTTACCAATAATAATAAACCAAATTATTTTCCCCATATATTCCTCCAAACCACAACTTAGCCATTTCTGCTTTCAACACAATATACAATTAATAGTATCTCAATTATTACAATTCCCTAGTTAAATAGAGCTTTCCCCTTATGTTACTCATTTTCACAACTTAAACTCTCCCAATAACCCAAATAGTTTTACTGATTGATTGATTGATTGATTGGTTTGATTTATATGCCGCCCTTCTCCAGAGATTCAGGGCAGTTTACATCGCGTTAAGCAATAGCCTTCATACTTTTGTATATACCTGCTTAATAGGGCTTTCGGGCCCCCCTAAGCGGTGTTCTTTTTTTTTATACAAAGTCATCTTATTGCCCCCACAATCCGGATCCTCATTTTACCTACCTCGAAAGCATGGAAGGCTGAGTCAACCTTGAGCCTGGTGAGATTTGAACTTTTTTTTTTTTAATTTGATTTATATGCCGCCCTTCTCCGGAGACTCAGGGCGGCTTACAATGTGAACTTGCAGTAATTGCGCTCCATGGCATAGGGCCTAGCTATCTTCGAGACCGCCTGCTGCCACCGACGACCTCCCATTGACCCGTGCGCTCCCACAGAGAGGGCCTCCTCAGGGTGCCATCAGCCAATCAATGTAGGCTGGTGACCCCCAGGGGGAGGGCCTTCTCTGTGGGGGCACCCACCCTCTGGAATCAGTTGCCCCCAGAGATAAGGAGAATCCATGACCTCAGTGCCTTCCGCCGTGCCCTTAAAACCTTCTTTTTCCAACAAACCGGGCTGGCCTAATTCTTTTTAAGTGTTTTTAATTGTTTTGTTTATCGTTTTAATTAATGGGGCCAAATCTATATATATATTTTTAACTGTATTTTAATACTTGTATTTGATGTTTTTATTTGGCTGTTCACCGCCCTGAGTCCGCAGGGAGAAGGGCGGTATACAAATTCAAAATAAAATAAAATAAAATAAAAATAAATTGCAGGTAGCTGGTGCTACACTTTAGTCTGCTGCGCCACCAAGGCTCTTATAAGACTATAATTATATAGTTTTGCTCATATAATCCTCCAAATGACAACTTAATCATTTCTACTTTCATCACAATATATAATTAAAAATATTTCAATCGTTACAATTTCCCTAATTAAATTTAAAAATGTTCTAGCTGTTATCCAAGCTGCAACTTAATCCTTTTTACTTTCACCACCATATACCATTAAAGGTATATGGTATATGGTATTGTTACAGTTTATACTTATTCATATTTCTAAAAAAAATAAAAAATAAAAACTTATCATTGTCTAGATTTCAAAAATACAAAGACAAATATTCCAATTATTATTCATTTCATTTTTACAATCATGATTTCCCATTTATTTCTTACTAGTATTTATATTTCAATTCTAAATATGTATAACATCTTTCTCTTTCATTTCTTTTTCTCCCTTCCCATTTTTGCCTTTTTCTTTCTCCTTTTTTTCATTTGTGTTTTAAAAGTTTTAACTCTCCTCTTTTGCCCTAAATTTCCCATTGTTTGCACCTACCTTTTTTGGTGAGGAAAAAGAAATCTGCCTCTGCCTAATTTTCCAATGTAACAGCAAACAGCCAACAGCCTGCTTTACTTTCAGTTTCATTTTCAGCTTGATTAGCACAAGGAGAAAAAAAATCTGCTCCAGCAATTTAGCTCTTTGCAGCAAGTAGCAGAGCCCTGCGCAAAACAGCTGAGAGCAAATCAGCTGAGAGTCAGGAGGCCAATCTAATTCACGGGCTAATTAGCCTATGCTAAAGCTGAAAGGAGTTGTTTTTTCTTGCTGTTTGCTTGCAAGGAGGTAACTGCTGCGAGGCACAGGCCAAAGGGTGGGGGCCACCCTCCTTGCCACTTAGCGCTCCCCTGCCGCCCCCCCTTGCCTCTTACCGCCCCCCTAAGGCATCCCACTGCCCCCCCAGTACCGCCCACTTTGGGAACTATTGCTCTAAAGGCCCTAAGTGTTTTTTAAAAATGGCTTTTGATTTAAATGTTAATTTGAGCCAACCTCACTTAAATGGGCCAAGATACCACCATCCCTCTCTGGAGATGAAGAATAACAAAACCAAACCTGATCACACTCCTGGTCATCCATGAAGAGCCTGGCCTGGCTGTCCTCCCTCTGTTCCTTATCCTGAAACACCACCTTGTGTTGGACAGGTGGGAGACCAGCAGCTGGAGCGAGTGTTCCAGGACCTGCGGAGAAGGCCACCAGTTCCGGATTGTCCGTTGCTGGAAGATGATCTCGCCTGGCCTGGACAGCTCCGTCTACAGCAACCTGTGTGAATCAGCTGACATCGCTCGGCCAGAAGAGAGGAAAGTCTGCAAGAACCCGGCTTGCGGGCCACAGTGGGAAATGTCTGAGTGGTCTGAGGTAAATTCTGGCCAAGAGGTCTCTGTGCTTTGATCCCAGCAAGCCCTGTGGATCACCTAGCTATGGGGGCAAGCTTAATGGGGGAGTTGGCGGGAGCAGTGACCAATTTCCGGGAGTCTTTTCCAACAGCTGTTCCCGCATGTGGTTTCAAATACAGGCAGCCAGGCTTCCGGTTGGTGCTGCCGTCATCGCTAGACGGTCTCTTTAAGACCGCCAGCCCTGCCTCCCGTAAAGAGCCGCCTCTACAGCGGAGAGGTGGCTTGAAAAACTCCGTGTTCCTGAGGAAACGTGAGGAGAGCCAGCAAGATCAGGTAGAGCCCCCTGCGAAGTCCCCAGGTTGTCTTTTTTGCTTCTGGGGAGGAAGCAGGGTGAGGCTCCCTATCCAGCTCGCCGAGGCTCCGGACTCTGGGGACAACTCTGCATCCAGCAGAGCCAGACGACGCGACCAACATAACCAGCGAAATCCAAGAGAATTATTAAAAATAAACAGGGTGAAATCTGGACCTGTAACTCAAAACTGCAAGTATTTGTATTAGCCCTGTGATTGAATTTAAGAACGGAGAAAGAGTGAAAGTCTGTTAAAATGGCGTCCGGCTTCAGCGGTAGGAAAAAAGCTGAAAGCGAAAGTGGATTTGCCTGATCATCTCAACACGTTATAAAGTACTTAAAGCAACAGCGCTGGCTAGAAGAAAAGGGAAAAGTTTTTTTTAAAGTGATTTTGATCTGTTCTTCCTCCCTTAAAGACTTGATTAAAGCTGGGGAAATTTCTGAGAGGATTCTGTGGTGGTGAAAAGGCTTCCTTCTTAGAAAAAGTCAGACTGCGTGGCAGAATGGCTTCGAAGCAGACAAAGCCAGCCACTAAAGCTGTGGGGGGGGGGGCTCACCCACTCATAAGTCACAAGAGCAGCCATTAAGTTTGCAGACTCAGAGCCAAGCACAGGAGACTGGTTTTAAAGATTTGAAGGAATTTATTGCTGCGGCTCTGATGAATCAAAATGAAGTTATGGACCAGAAATTTGAAAAATCTCAACAGGAAATTAAGGAGGTGGTTCAAAAAAAGTATGATAAGATGAAGCGAGACATACTGACAGTTCTGACTGGCTTGTCAGAAGTAGTTGTTCAGATTGATAAAAAAGTGAGAGAACTTAGTTCAGAAGTAGAATCTAAAATGAAGGAAGCTGATTATAAAATTTCCAATGTGGACAATAAAACGCAAAGGATTGAAAATGAAGTGACAATGATGCAATTTAGATTTATGGAGTTTGCTGTAAGACTGAGAGGAATAAAAGAAAACAACAGAGAGGATTTGAGAAGGGTTTGTGCTGATGCCCTGGCTGTGATGCTAAAGGTTAGCCCTGAAGAGATTTTGTGCAAGATGGACAAGGTTTACAGAGTGAATTCTTGGGTGGCAAGGGAAAGGCAATTGCCTAGAGATGTGGTGATCTACTTTACAGATAGAAGAATAAGAAATGATATCTTACAAAAGTCTTTTGTTTCTACTATTCAAGTGGATGGAAGGGAGATTGGGATTTATAAAGAGTTGCCGCCTAAGATGCTAAGAGATAGAAAGGATTTTGGATTTTTGGTGACTGAATTAAAGAAACAACAAATTCCATTCAGATGGAGCACAATTTATAGCCTCAAATCCGGAGAAAAAGAATGGTGTGGTGATTTATATAAATAAAAGATTGTCAGCTAAAATTATAGAAGCAGATGATTGTGGAAGATATATAGCAATTGAACTTTATACATATAATGGTCCAATTTTGGTGATTGGAATTTACGCTCCTAACCAGCAACAAGAAAATTTTTACAAAATATTGTACTCTAAAATATTACAATGGGACTATAGATCTATTTTACTTATGGGAGATTGGAATGGAGTAATAGATCCTAAAAAAAATAAAAAGAGTTTGGCAAAGTCATGTGTTAAATTACCACAGATCTTTTTCAATATGAAAGAAGATTTGGAATTGAAAGACATATGGAGAGTGCACAACCCAAACTTTACTTTTTTCTCAGACAGACATAGATCCTTCTCTAGGATTGATTTTATCCTACTTACGGCTGATTTACTTCTAAAAACAAAGAAAACAAAGATATTTCCGAGGACTTTAACTGACCATAGCCCGGTATGGATAGAAATAGAAATGGGAAAGAATGAGAGAAGATCGTGGAGAGTAAATGAAAATTTGTTTAGATATGAAAAGAATGTAAATGAACTCAAAAAACAAATGAAGGAATTTTTTGAAATGAATTTGAATAAGGGTACCCCTATTGAAATTGTTTGGGACGTGAGCAAGGCGTATATGCGGGGGGCACTGATCTATATGAATTCTAAACACAAATTAAATCGACAAAGAAAAAGATTAAAAATGGAAGGAGAGATAAAGAAAAAAGAACAGTTACTTATAAAAAATCCAACAGATGAAAAACTACAAGGAATTATAAAACTTTTGAAAGATCAATTTCAAATGCTCATAGCGGAACAAGCAGCAACTAATTTACAATTTGCGAAACACAATACATTTTGTAACGCTAATAAACCGGGCAGGTGGCTGGCTTACACATTGAGGAAGCAGCAGAGTACTCGGACTATCGGTAGTATTGAGTATGGAGGGAAGGAAGTTTTTCAACAAAGATTAATCAAAGAAGCCTTCTTAGATTACTATACCAAACTATATGCCAAAGATGATATATAGAATGAACTTATAAATAAATATCTAGAAGAAAGGAGAGTTATGAAAATTTCTAGTGATCAAAAGGAAAGAACGAGTCAACCAATAACAGCTGAGGAGATTATTGTTGCTATTAAACAACTGAAAACAGCTAAAGCTCCAGGGACGGATGGTTTAACTGCGGTGTATTATAAAACCTTACAAGTAGAAATGATTGAACATCTTTTTTTTTATTTCAAAAGTTTTACAGTTACATCTTCACCCCATTTCCCCACCACCACCACCCACCCCAAACATCCCAACCTCCCTAACCCTCCCTAACCCTCCCCTCCCCCCAGACTTCCACACAGTATACTCATATCAGGTAAAAAAAAACCCTTAGTATAAAACTTGTATAAAACTTGAACCCTCCCCCTTATAATTTTTCTTTTTATCTTCATTACATTAAAATATTTGTAATACATTATTTTCAAATAAAAGCTATTTGATACTTCCTAGTTTGATATTTGTTCTGAACATATTCTATCCACTTTTTCCATTCCCATTCATAAGTCTCTTGTGAACAATCTTTTAAATATGCTGAAATCTTCGCCATCTCTGCAAAACTGGCCATCTTCAAAGTCCATTCCTCGATAGTGGGCAAAGCTTCGTTTTTCCAATATTTACCTATCAACAATCTTGCTGCTGTTATCATATACAATATCAATTTTGTTTCACCCAATGTAAAACCCTTAACTATACCCAATAAGAACAGTTGTGGAGAAAATTGAATTTTTTTCTTCAAAACATTCTGCATGACCCACCAAATTTTTATCCAAAAAGCCTTAACTTTCCTACAGGTCCACCAAACATGGTAATATGTAGCATCCAAACATTCACATCTCCAACATTTTGGCTGAACATTAGGGTACATACATGATAACTTTTTGGGGTCTAAGTGCCATCTATAAAACATTTTGTAGAAGTTTTCCCTCAAATTCTGCAACTGTGTAAATTTAACATTCTGAACCCAGATTTTTTCCCATGTTTCCAACATCACTGGTTCTTCAAAATTTTGAGCCCACTTAATCATACAATCTTTAACTAATTCGGTTTCTGAATCCCTTTCTAACAAAACATTATAAAGCCTTTTAATATGCATTGGACCTTTCTCTTTTATATGTCTAACCAATTCTTCCTCATGCAACATAATACCAGTTTTTTGATCCTCTTTCCATCTCAATTGCAATTGATTATATTGTAGCCAAGTTAAATTAATCCCTTCAGCCAACAGTGTCTGTAGTGTCTTCAGCTGCCATCTGCCCGCATCTGTAAAAAGAACCTCTTTATATAACCCCCCCCCGAGTGACATTATATTTGTATTCCACAAAGTATGACCAAGATCCAGCCATAGCGGTATTTTATAATCCCATTTGAGTCGGTGCTTCTTCCAAACTCTCATCAAAGAGTCTCTAAGTATATGGCTTTTAAATACTTTGTCGACTTTATCATCATAAAATAAGTAAGCATGCCATCCAAATTCAAGATCAAAACTTTCTGCGTTCAATATTCCAGTCTTTTTCCTTCCAAACCAATCACTTGTTAAAGTCAAAGCTGCTGCATCATAATATAACTGTAGGTTTGGTAATTTAAGACCTCCCCTTTCTGGAACATCTTGCATAATTTTCAATTTCACTCTGCTTTTTCTCGTTCCAGACAAACTTGTTCACTCCAGCTTGCCACACTTTCACTTGTTTATCACTTTTAAGCACCGGAATCATTTGAAACAGAAAAAGAAATCTTGGCAAAATGTTCATCTTAACTGCTGCTATTCTTCCAAGTAGAGACAGTTGCAGTTTTTTCCAAGTCTCTAAATCTTTCTGCACCTCTCGCCACAACACCTCGTAGTTATTTTGAAACAATTTCGTATTTGATTCTGCAACCTGGACTCCTAGATATTTTACCCTTGGTACAACCTCAAAACCTGCCCTCCTTTCAAGCTCGTGTTTACGATCTTGTGTCATATTTTTAACTATCATCTTAGTCTTTTTATGATTCAGTCTAAAACCTGAAACTTTACCATAGTCTTGTATAATGTCCTTCATCAGGATTATTGATTCCATTGGCTGTGTTAGGGTAACAACTAGATCGTCTGCAAATGCCTTTATTCTGTAATCATCTTGCCTTATCATTATACCTTTCAAGATATTAGAGTCCCGTATTGTATTTAGCAAGACTTCTAGTGTTAAGATAAATAAGAGTGGGGACAGCGGACATCCCTGTCTTGTTCCTTTTTCAATTTTAAACTCTGTTGTCAAGCTTCCGTTAATAATAATCTGTGCC